TGCTTTCCCCTAAACCCTAAACCCTAAAATCCTAAATCCTAAACCGTACATTCAAGTACAGAGGGTTCAGGTCGCCAGTGTTTACTTGGACCTCCCCACCTTTTGAAGCAGCCATCCGAAGGCGCCAGCACAGGGAGAATCCGCAATCCTAAAGCCCTACCTGAAGCCCTAATCCTAGACTCTCATACTCAGACGCCCTAAACGAAGAAGAAATTCTCCAAAGACCCTGATTCCTGAGTCACATGTTTCTTGATAATCGAAACCGGAGGAGACGAGAGGAATCAGGACCCCCCTCAAACCCCAAACTGAAACACCCCAAAAACCTGAATCAGTGTATAACGTGGCCTTGGGTTGAAGCCTCCGCCCTGAACTTTAATCCCGAAAGCCCTAATCCTAATCCCGACACATGGAGCCGTCGGTTGGGGTTTGAGATGGCGCAGGCTTTAGAGATCCGATTTAGGGCCTCAGCTTCCGGGTCTTCGGGTTTAGAACGATTTGGAGCTTGGCCTTGGGCCTTGGGGCCACGAAAAAACTGTAGGGTTTAGGGCTTGCATGAAGCTCACGGGCTGGAGAAGACTCCGTCTCTTCATGTGCCGTTCACTGGAAGAAATCGACAGGTCAGACGAGAGCTCAAAGAAGAAGATCCCAAACCATCGAGGGTTTCGGGCTTCCGAGCTTTGGGTTGCAAGATTGAAGTTTGGGCCGAGGGTTTTGCTGCCATAGATCTCAGGAAACCCAAGGGGCCGTACAGTTTTTCAAGCTCGTACATATACCATAATATCAGCGTGTAGGATTCAAGGTCTAGGGTTCAGGGCTTAGGGTTTAGGGTTTAGGGTTTAGGGTTTAGGGTTTAGGGTTTAGGGTCTAGTGTTCAGGGCTTGCGGTTCAGGGCAAAGGGCTAAGTCTTGCGGAATGCGTGGGAGCCAAGTCTTTGTAGGACCAGGTGTTGGCATCGCTGTTGACAGTTTACTGCGCATGTCCTGCAACACCCTAAACCCTAAACCCTAAACCACAAACCAGCTAACGAACATGAACTGTGGTATCTGGGGGCTCAACGCACAAGTCGCTCCAATAGTTCAGAGAAAGGTGCTGGACGAAGAAAGGAACCAGGAACCAGCAAGTGCTACCAGGACGACACCTGAGAGGCTTGGGTCTTGGCCATTTTCAGCTTCTTTCAACTTAAACATGGGGGCAATCTGACTAAAGATGTGCTCAGGCACGGAGTGTGGCTTCGGCGTTGGGAGTGTGCTGAAAAGGGGGGGGGGATCCTATGGCAGCTATGGAAGCTCCGAGCCCCCTGTGAACTGGACCGCGCAGGGAGTAGGATGTTTGATCCGTAAACCCTAAACCTGAAACCCTAAAGCCTAAACCCATAAACTCTAGAGCCTAAACCTTAAACCCTAAACGCCCTAAACCCTATAAAGCCTAAACCCTCTAAATTCCATGAAATATGAAGGGGGATCACCTAATAAGGGACCCGAGCCTTGGATAACTGAGACAAACCTGGCAGTGGCAGTCAGTGGTTGCTTTTAATTGGTTTAGGGTTTAGGGTTTAGGGTTTAGGGTTTAGGGTTAAAAATGTTCCTGGCTAAAACAGCTGGGAACCGACACAAAAGACGTGATTACCGCAAGCTCACCTTATCCATACGCGTATCGAAGCATTACCTAATAATTCAATAAGACGCCGCGAGGAATACTATTGGTAATCATTCAGGCTTCTAGGTTACACTCTTGGTCCACTTTGCCCGCCTCCCAACCACGACTATTGAATTTTTTACACCTTTCAATGCCAGCAAGGGCGCAGCTCGCGAGTATAAAGACCTGCAGCAGTCTTTCAGCTTCAGGTTGCATCATACGCACCCCAAAAGCCTCAATCGAAGATCTCATGCCTGAAAACTCCCATGCAACCGGTGATTCTTTAGGCTCTTTAACTCCTTGGCCTCGACGCATATTCGGGCTGAAACCAGGCGCGTGGAAAACTCCGACGTAGATGCAGTTACTCAGTTGAGCATAAGACTTGGAGACGGAGGTTCATGTCCAGAACTACAATCTTCGTATACTCTACTTCAAGGATATACAGGGACTAAATACAGGGACTGAAAGGGTATACTATTACTTCTTACCTCTACACCCCTAAACCTGTATAATAACTGTACAGACCTTTTTTTCCAAGCCCATGTATTCGGCCTCTGAACTGGGCCTACGGGTTCTGGCGCTCACCTGCAAGCCCCACCCCAACAAATGCCTACAGTCGATAGTCTCCATTGTAGTTCCTCTTATTGGTCCACCAAGTCTTCTGGTTAGGATGTTAGAATACAAAACTGCAGTAAAAACTAGACGTAGATGATAATTTACATAAAGCTACGAAACGACATGGCTACGAACTCCTTCAGCCTTGACAGAAACACCAGTGAGCCCCATCATGCTAAAAAACTGTCGCATGGCAGCTCCGACGTCGACTGGAACCTGCAGCTCCTAATACAACCCCAACCCCCAAACCCTAAACCCGGTAAACCCCTATTTTTCTGCGCTTCAAAGCTTGAAAACCACTAAAAGCTCTCAACTCTAAAACCCTCAGCCGACGTCCAAACCCACCTCGTTCTGGACCGCAAGTGCGCCTGCAGTCACCTGCCGGCTTCAGGAGGTCGAAGGCTCAGAAAGGGTCCCCCAAAACGGCCTACGGTTACTATAGGGGCCTGAATAATTAGGAATAGGGTTCTTTGTTACTAGTATAGTATAAAGGATCTCAAAACCCTATTCTATTTATTAAGGCCCCTATATTACAGTAGGGTTCAGTGCTTTTGAGTTTAAGGCTTTGGCCTTTTGGAGTTCGGGGTTTAGCTGGGTTTGGGGTTACCCAGCTGGACCTGAACCTAAACTGCCCTAAACCCTAAACCGAGTCGACGGCTTGTTGGCGGTCTTGAGATGCTCAACAGCAGACACATATAGCCAAAATCAGCACCCAAGACACGCGTAGTGGCCATAGCAGTGGACAGTGGCAGCTGGAGCAGTAGCAGCAGCTGTAACCCTAGCGACAGGAGTGGCAGCAATAATCGCAGTCGTCGTCATCCGTCTGTCCTCACAGTACTTCCTCGGCTTTACCGTTCTCGTCGTTGTCGTCGCCCTGGGACTGGCAGCAACGTACCGGTGTAGCCTCGGCAGTGGCGGTGGGCGCAACGGTTTCGAGCATTGTCGCCAATGTCGGGTCCACAGGCTGTACGCCCTCAGCTCACAACTCTAAATCCAAAACCCAAAAACCTCAGCCCCTGGTCCAAACCTTAGACTCCAACCCTAAACCCTCAGCTCCTGGCCCAAACCCTAAACTCGAAGTCCAAAACCCTCAGCTCTTCTTGGCCCAAACCCTAAACTCTAAACCCTCAGCTCCTGGCAAATCCCAAACCCTCTGCCCTTGGCCCAAACCCTAAACTCTACCCTAAGCCCTCAACTCCTGGCTCAAACCCTAAGACTCTAAACCCAAAGCCCTCAACTCCTGGCCCAAATCCTAAACAAGAGCTCTCTGGGCCCAACGCGAGCCTCTGAAAGTTCGAAGAGACGCGGCAGAAGTCCGTCCATGGCTTTTGAAAAAAGGATCAGGCTTCTGGGACTCTTATCTCTGCAAACCCTAAACACTAAACGGCTAGGGTTCAGGGTCTAAAGTTTACGATTTCTGATGATCTGTCCGTTTTCTTCTCGAGCACTAAGATCATATCACATCTTTATCCAAGTGGGGCTTGAACATATCTACGCTCAAAGTTGGTAGGGGCATGACCAGAAAGCTCACGAATGTTCAAGCTCTTGTGTCTAAAAATGACTTACGAGTCATGAGAGATGCTTGGACTTGGAAGGAACTCGTGCAGTCAACCGGTGATATATATATATATATACACATACACATGTATGCAGTCTACATTAGTAGACATATAGTTTAATAGTATATGTAACAGACTATTGCAGCTCAACTTTTCTGAGCTGGGAAGGATTCGGTCTTGAATCTGCAAGGTGCGTTCAGGACCCATCGGTCTGATGAGTTGTGGCATGTAGGCCTGGTAGGGCCCTTAAACAGGGTTTCGGGTCTAGGGCAGGTTTAGGGTTTAGGGCTAGTAGAGGCCTTGTTCAAGGGTAGTATGGCAACCTCAATAACTAATTACGGGGTTTGGGGGTAAATCATTGCAAAGTTGCTGTAAAAATTAGACGGACTACACCGAGATAGCATTGCTATATCATAGAGTTTGGTGCCCCAGATAAGGACAGCCGGTGTGGCCGCACAGCAAATCCCGGCAACCCCCAACAGCAAAAAAACTGAGCGTTTTTATCCAGCGAGGAAACTCTCGTCGAAATATCCGATGTCCATAAGGCACCCCCAGCCCTATAAACCCCAAAAAATCAAGGTTTAGGGTTGAAGCACATGGGGGTTTCCGCAAATAGGGGACCCTAATATAGTACCCTAAATAGTAGGATCCATATTATAAGGACCCCCAATAAGGTACCCTCTATTGTCGGAAACCCCCACATCCGTTGCAGAGAGTCGCAGGAGCTACTCTGGGAGGCTTCTGGTGTCAAGGACAGCTCGAAAGGAGGCGGCAAGACATCTCCAGGAAACCTAGGGTTCAGGGTTTAGGGCTTATAGGGTTTAGGGTTTTTAGGGTTTAGGGTGTAGGGTTTATAGGGTTTAGGGTTTAGGGCTTTTAGGGTTTAGGGTTTAGGGTTTAGAAAAATGGAAACCTGCCAAAGTTGAGAGTGCCCACAACACTTTCAGGGTTTAGGGTTTAGGGTCTATAGTAACTATGGGCCTATCTAAACCTAGATATGCCCCAATCATGTTCCGAAGCGACCAGCTCATCAAACCTATCTACATCCTGTGCACAGTTGGTAGCAAAGCATCGAACGGATCTGCAACCACCAGGCCGTGTGCCAACAAGTTTTGGGCTATGTACACCAACGGTACCAAAAGGGTTTAGTTTAGGAGCTCAGGGTTTCAACAAAATCGCTAAGCCAGCAGCCCATTTGACTATGGACGGGTTGACCTGCGCCGGAAAGACGAGCACTGAGTTGCTTTGCGGAGTCGTTGCTTCTCTTAGGTGTTTAGGCCCTGAGGATTCAATATCTCTAGAGCTGCACAGACCTGAACCCTAACCCCTAAACCCTAAACGGGCTTAGCTTGTCCATGGCTCGCTCAGCTGATAGCATCCAAGTCTGAAGTCTCGACAAACCCAACAAACACTCCGCTATCCGAAACCCTGAACCCTAAACCCCCAAACCCTGATATAACTATAAGAAGGAACCCCCCAAACAAAAATAGTACAGGTAATTATTTAGGCCCCTACGTTAAACCCTAAAGGACAATTCCAAGACTAACTTAAAGCTTCTTGCCTATGCCCCAAAACCCTACAGGGCTCACATCCCTGTAGATGTTGTGCGTGTAACCCCAGGACATGTGAGGCCTCTCGTGCCCAGGGTTTAGGGTTTAGAGCTTGGGGTTTAGATGCCGACGGTCATGGAACACAAACTCCGATGCTGCGAGGCAAATCCCTTGATTCACTCGATAGGTCTCTGGTGCTCTAAGAACTGTCGTTGGGGATTGTAGTTGTGTGGGTTTGGTAGTGAGTTTGATTGAAGTTTTCAGCCTTTCCTAAGCTAAAGCAGACAAGCTGCAAAGATGTAATGTAGGGGCCTGAATAACTAAAATAGGATTTGATGGGGCTCCTTATTCTACTTATATAGTATACAAAACCCCAAACCCCATTCTAAGTATTAAGGCCCCTTTTTGTAGGAATTCGGGCTCCATGCCGAAAGTCATTCGAACCCCAAGATCCACGAACTTCTCAGGCCTGGAACAGCCTTTTCACAACCTGGCGGCATTGGGCAGGGTTGAGGGTTGAGGGTTGAGGGTTGAGGGTTTAGGGTTTAGGGTTGAGGGTTTAGGGTTTAGGGTTTTGGGTTTTGGGTTTATAGGGTTTACCGAGCGCCCAGATGAAGACCTTGTGCGGGAGTTGCGGATTCGATGCTCGAATTTGAGGCGTCATGGTATGGGTCCATCTAAGCCCTAAGCCCTAAAGCCCAAAATCCTCAACCCTACGCTGTTGGGCTTTGGGCCCTAAGGCCCAACATATCCTAAACCCTAAAGCCCAAAATTCCTAAACCCTACACCCAAGCCCAAAATTCCTGAACCCTACACCCTAGAGCCCCAAAATCCTAAAGCCAAAAAATCCCAACGCTCTACGGCCGGCTTTGCCTATGGTTTCGGCTGCGGGCTGGTTCTCTCAGCGCTGCTACGGCTTACTACAGGGTTTCGGGCAGTTTGGGGTCAGGGTTTAGGATATAGGGTTCAGGGGGCAGTTTAGGGTCAGGGCTAGGTTAGGTGTCATGTTTTGTTGGGGAGTTTTATCGGTTTCAGACTGTGTCGCGGAGCACGGTTAAAGGTTCAGGGCCTGAGGTGAACCGCCTCTGTCACCCAAACTCGGGTGAACACATCGCGGCTGCGAAGGCTACGAGGCTTCATGGCTAACTTAGGGTTTAGGGTTTAATTTAAGGTTATCTGGTGGAAGAAGGTACTGAAGCACAGACCTAGCAGACCCTGTTCCGGATGAAACCAACTTTTTACAATGCTACGCAGCCCAGTAAAATTACGATTCGAGAGGAAATCGTGTACTATGCTTCCCCGACATCAACACATCAGGCTTGAGGATTTTCTGAAATCCTATACAGCCAAACAGACTGGACGCCTGCAGATCCGTCATCTGCGGAATATATCTGGCAGCCCATGTGGCTGACCTTGAAGGGATCGGACTGAAATTTCCTCTCGTCGCGCAACGGGAGGGATCTGCGACAAGAACAAGAAGACCATGACATTAATAATAGTTAGCATATGGTTTCGGGGGGGTATATTATACGATAATTATAATAAGGAGCCCCCAAAACAGAATAGGTAAGTACTAAGGCTTGGGAGTGGAAGGACTCGGGAAAACGGCCCCAGATCTTGAACCCCTGGACTGCATGTCACCACTGGCCCGTCTGCTTTAGTCGCCCCAGATCCCGTGCTCCTCCGCCGCCGAAGGAACGGTTTAGGGTTTAGGGTTTAGGAATTTCAACAGGAAGCCTCAAACCTTCAACCATGCTAGCCATGTCAAGCTCAATCCTCAATAGAACCAATAGCGAAGCGGACAATCGCGAAGCTCCAAAGCCACTCTGAACCGCTGCGGTATCAATGCTCGGTCTTCCAAGACTTCCGGAAGAAGCTGAACCCCTCAACTGCCGATCATCCTAAACATGAAACCCCGCTCCAAGACCTCAACCTGAACTCGAAACCCTAAAACCTACCTATAGTCTCCATTATAGTTCCTTTTTTTGGTTTAACCAATTATATATTAAGGATTGTATAAGGTATCCTCCAACAGGAACTACAATGAAGACTACAGGTAAAACCTGAAACCCTAAAACCCTATACCCTGAAACCTACTAGGGCCGCAGCACTGGCTTCGGTATGACTGTGGCGGCGAGTCCCGTCAAACAGGCCACAGGCAGAGCATTGTAGAAGTTCAAGTCCAAGGCCTTTGCTTATGACTGGACTTAGAGTTGAAAACCCTGTACCCCTAAACCCCCAAAAAAACACAAAAAACAAACCCTGAACGTACTATGATGAAAGGCCCAAAGTTCTCTGACTTCATCCTCTGATTCTGGGCTGCAGAGATTCAAGAAAGTTGGGTTTAGCGTTCAGGGTTCAGAGTGTAGAGCATAGGGTTCAGAGTTTAATTTTCATGGTTTCAGGGTTTCTGGCTTCAAGCTCAGGGCAGGGGTCAAGGTCTATGAATCTTGCTGTTGAGGATTGAGTGCTTAGGGTTGAGGGTTTAGGGCTTAGGATGGATCGTGAACAAAAGGGAGGCGAGATCAGAAGGCTGCATGGCTTCTGATCTCATTGAGCTTCCGAGTTTGGGTTTGCAGCGCTTCAGATTGAGGGCTGAGTTCTACAGGTAGGTTAGGTTATAGTACTAGGATCCCGAATATGATTCAAGGTACATTCCGCAATTCAGGAAAAAAGCTTAAGTTATAGTACTTCGGACGCCTGATATGATTTAAGGTACATTCCTTGATTCAGGAAGAAAGCTTAAGTTATATTATAGCACTTCGGATACCGAATATGACTCAAGGTATTTTCGACCAATTCAGGAATGTAGCTTAAGTTATAGTACGTAGTTGCAGGATCCCTAGTTTGATTTAAGACATATTCCTTAATTGACGGATGTTGGAAGGTCTGGGAATTGCATTGGCAAACAAGTAGGCTTCTATATTCAAACAACGCCTACTTTGGTCAGGGACCATCGAAATGGAGCCTAACTCGGATCAGTCCCAACTGTTGCAGGTTGCAGCGTACCAGTTTGTGGGGGCTTGCTTTGGGTTCCCTTTGGGTTACTGACGGCTCGGGCGCTTGTGCCTCCAAGTCCCAGACAAGCTCCTGTCAAAATTGGCTGTTCTACGGTAGGGTTTTCTGCTTGGTATGTGCTCCAAACTCTGAACCCTAAACCGATTATCATGGGCAGGCCCAATATAGTGCCCTAAATAATAGGATCCTTAGTATTATAAGAACCCCAAAATAAGGTACCCTAATTCCTGAAACCCCCATAGTTCGGGAACGGTCCCGAACCCTATCACTTCGGCGACTGCACAAGAAGCCGAAACGCCAGGTAAGCTCGCGAAGATGCAAGACAGCACCACTCTTATTCCGGCTCCCTGGACCCCAAGCCCCAAGCCCTAAACCACAAACCCCAAACCCTAAAGTCGAAACCCTAAACCCTAAACCCTAAACCACAACCCTCAACTCAAGGCTTCATGGCTGCAGCGGGGTGACACATGACAAGAGAGCTGAGGTGCTGCATGCAAACTACTTGCGAGAACTTCTGTAATAAAATCTAGCCTCGAGAAATGCACAAAAGCTAAAGCCCTAAACCCCAAACCCTCAACCCTAAACCCCCCTGGTGCAATCAAAGTGGCATTCAGCTTCGGTCCCTTACCCAGCTTCGCCTGCTGATAGGTGGGCTTCCGAAAATAGGGGACCCTAATATAGTACCCTAACTAATAGGATCCTTATCATAAGGACCCCAAAATAAGGTACCCTAATTTCTGGAAACCCCCATAGTTCGGGAACGGTCACAGGAGAGTTGACTTGTGGAGCGGTCTGTGATGCAGGTCTCCCTGTTTAAGCTCAGCTGTGGATTCCAGGATCCAGGCAGTTTGGGGTTTAGGGTTTAGGGTTTGGGGTTTGGGGTTTAGGGTTTAGGGTTTGGGGTTTAAGGGCTTCTGTTTCAGAGGTGAGAAGAGCACCACCCAGATCTGAAGCTCAAACTCCATGCAGTGAAAGTCATGTCTACAGTAGATGCAATAGTCACATAGTTGGTCCAGTCCTTCGGGCATTGGCCCAAGCGACGGCCCTGAACCTAACAAGCCACCACGGGTCTGAATACTAAATCAGCTTTTCCCTCTCGTTGGTTCAACTCTGTAGTACCATGACCGACAGCTGGAGTAAGCTTCTTTCTTGCTCTGATTCTTGATGAGGCCCCTGTTGTTTGTGTTGCTGCATTTGACAAAGCAAGCCACAATGACAGCATTGCTTGGCATCATGCCTTCTTTGCACTATCACGTCGCTGCATACGCTGGGTATGAAGAATTATTCTGGAAACCGATGAAGATGAAGATGTGGCAGGTGGCACGCAAAAGCCTCGATGTCAGAAAGGTGTTGGCCGATGCTTCCGGGATCCGGCCCACACAACATGCAGCAAACCTCGAACGCCAACAGAGCCTAAATGCCAAGCCATGCGCCTTCAGGACAAAATCAAGTCCACCGCAGCAGATGCTGAAGACGCATATCGCTACCTCAGACTCAGCAGCACACTCGAGAGAGATGGGTGCTATTCGCTGCCACGAACTCAGCTGTTCATTCATGCTTCCAGGTTGCCAGATGCAGAAACCTTCGGCCCAAACCATTGAAGGCGTGAACCTTCAGCCCTGAACCCAAATAATCCCTGATGGGGCGATACCGTCTGAACCCCCAAAAAGGTTGACTCTGCGGTCCTCCATCTATCTGAGCAATGGGGCCCAGCGCTATCCGCATCCCTTACGTTTCAACCATCAACCTCAATTCACCCCCCCCCCTCCCCTAGCTGCTCCTGAGCCTTCGGCCCCGAAGAAGAATAGGAAGGACGCCTGCCGTGGGTTTCTTCATTTAGGGCTCTGGGGCTTGTCTTGGGACTTGAGGGTATAGGAAGTTAGGAGTGTAGGGCAAAAGAATACTAACAATAGGAACAGGGTTCAGGGTTTAGGGTTTAGGGTTGAGGGTCCAGGTAGCAGCTTAGGAGATCAACTAATGCGATATACGACATTCTCTACATGGTTTTACCAACAATGTACTGTACGTACTGCAGGTAACGTACGGGCCTTAATAATTAGAATAGGGTTTTGGGCTCCTTCATAGAAAAACTATAACAAGGAACCCCCAAAATGGTATAGGTAACTATGTAGGCCCCTATAGTCCCGAAGGGTCCAAGTACCCATATAGTAGATATTTTGTGCCCCAAAATATCTACCATATAAATACTTAGATCCTTTGGGAGTGCAGTTTAGGAGACTAAGGGCTTCCGGGTTTGGGCTCAGACTGCCACCATGCTTGGACCCTAAAGAACTTACCTTTTTAGGGCTCCCGAATAGGATTCCTTTATACAAAGTCCTTAAGAAGGTAGGTTATCTTGGGACCTACCTTTTTAGGGTTCCCTAATATGATTCCTTTATATAAAGTCCTTAAGAAGGTAGGTTATCTGGGGACTTACCTTTTTACGGTTCCTTAATATGATTCCTTTTGATAAGTCCTTAAGAAGGTAGGTTATCCGGGGTTACGGTAGGGCTTCAGCCTGTCCGAAACAAGCTTCGGGCTGCAGGAATCCTAAGCTTCCAGCCCAAAACCCGGTTTCAAAACCCGTGCGGTTCATGGTTTGGAGATTTCGGAGGTTAGGGGTTTGAGAGTGTCGGTGTCAAGGGATTTCGAGCTTAGGGGTTTAGCGGTTCCGGGGTTTAGGATTTAAGGGTTTTAAGGTTTAGGCGTTTAGGGTTTAAGGGTGGGTTTCGGGGTTTAGGGGCTCAGGGTTTAAAGGTCTAGGGTTTAGGATACCAACACATGTCTTAGTGGCACGTGGCATAAGCCTTTCGGTCGTGAGCTTGATGTACAAATATTCGTCTGGCTCTTGGCAGAGTTCAACGTCTGGTTTCTTGGCTGCGGAGAAGAACATGTTTCAGCTTTGCCCTTCATGTATACTACTCCTAATCCTAATCTTAAAGCCCTTATCATTACAGCTCGGGGTTAGGGTGCCAGTGCCCCTAAACCCTAAACCCTAAACCCCAAAGCACTAAGCCAGATCCAACTTTCGAAGAGAGGTGACGGTCATGGGGTCCTGTCGAATGTCTCGAGGCTTACCGAAGCCATGACTCTGGGCTTCCAACGACTGCAGGAGTCTCACGACAGCCTTCATACAGAGAACTCTGATCTTTAATGAAGGGGCCTTAAGAATTAGAATAGGGCTTTGGGGGTTCCTTATTATAGTTATATAGTATAATTTCACCGTCAAAGTGTCGCCAAAGCTGATCTCTTGAGGCTGGAGGTACCATGTAGGTCCGAAGCCCAGTTGTGACATAACATATCGGAGGCGATTCACCTAAGCGTCAGGATGTGTATATATATATATATATAGATATGTACACATACGCACTTTCGTCAGGTACGACGATTAGCCGCCTGTATCTGAACTTTCTCAGAAATTCAGCTTGTATGAGGTTCGCATCGTCAAGCGGAAAGGTCTGACATTGCAGGCAGCGAGCAGAATACTTGGCAGTCGCACCTCACCCGCCACTCCACCGCTTTCTGCTAGTGTCACAGCTGCGGCCTTGGATGTCTGGTTGCAGACTTGAGCTTCAGGTACACAGATGTAATGATAAGGTCGGTTTGGGCTTTGGCGTCCAGTGACCTTAAGTCACTAACTTGTAGCACAAATAGGGAATCAGGTCTCCATCCCCAAAACCAAGCGCAGAAGCAACACTCGCTTGCTGTACACTGGCCGGATCTACAACCTTATCAGTGAACTTTAGACTTCCAATATGTCGCTGTACTAGGGGTTATGTTGGGGAGTCTAAGTAGGCTTAGTCCATCAAGAAGCCCTCCAAGTAGGCCCGAAGCTCCAAATCCAGCCAAGGATCACGAGTGCGAAATCAGAGTGCCAAACCCACAAGCCTGAAAGCCCTAACCCCGCAGACACTAAGGACACCCCATGTAACCCTGCTACGTCGAAACAACGTAGGAAGTAGATTCTACACAACAGAAACCTCAGTTGGCACGACTTCTACGGGACGTTCGGGAAGTCTTTTGCTGTACACCAGCCAGGCGTAGTCAAGAGGATGCTGGGATTGCTGATTTCTTGCTGCACTGCAACCGCTGAAAGGCTTGTCCTGGCTGGGGCTTGAGGGCCAAGTCGCACAAGGCCTACCCCCCTACACCCTAAACCCTCAACAGACTTCGCTCTTGAAGAAGAAGGCACGCAAACGACTCCGATCAGCAGGCAGAGCCACTCAGGCGCAGATGGCGTCCTGTTGAAACTTGACTTGATGAGCTTCCCGAGGTTTTCGGGTTTAGGGTTAGGGATTAGCTACAGAAACAAGAAAACAAACGGTGCTCGCGGGACTTAGTAACTAGCCAGTCGCCGTTGAAACCTGCATTTTCCCTGCTTGTAAAGTCATTCCTCTTCATACTGTGCCGGAGACTTATGCCTGTCAAACTGTTACAGTGATGCAAGGGAAAACCTGGGGACCAACTCCCAAACCGGTGATCTCAAAACCAGCGGTTTGGGGCTATAGGGTTTAATGTAGGGGCCTTAACAATTAGAATAGGGATGTGGGACCCGCTATACTATAACTATAATAAGGAACCCCAAAATACTAAGGTAATTATTCAGGCCCCTATATTAAGCGCCAAAGAATCCGACATTTACAAGGAGGGCCACAGGACTCAACCGCACCCGCGACACGCCAGGAAAACTTCTAGAACTTCTAGCAGCATTCCTGCACCAGCTCCCTCTCAAAAAGGGCCACGACTCCATGCCTCATCCTATGTAATCTCCAACTCTCAGAAACCTGCGTGAATGAACAGACACCGTGAAATCCCTCTGGACACTCCTGGAAACAATAACTGATCTAATAGGGCAGCCCACATGCCTACTCAAAGCTGCCTGTACTCTCCAATGTAAACTCGCCTTGGGTCACCTGTTTTGTTATTGTAGGGTTCTAATCATACAGCTGACTAACCAAAGGGAAGTGTTCTTAAGATTGTAGGTAGACTCTCCCCTAAACCCTAACTAATTGGGTAGTTTTTTCTAAATTAGGGTCCCTTTTTGGGTCCCCAATATAGTACGGCACCCTTATAAAAGGGACCCAAAAGGGACCCTAATTTAGAGAACTACCCAATTACACGCTAAACCTAAACCCGAACTAAGAGGCCATGAAGCCTAAGCATCCTGGGCCCAAAGCCCCTAAAGCCAAAACTGCAAACAACGTCAAAAGCACAGCAAACCACTAAAACATCAATATCCCTTGTAGAACCCTTTTGGGCAACTCTTCAAACAGCCCATTAAAGAAACCCTTGAAGCATCAACTATTTCCTCCTCTAAACCTTCGTTTCTTAGCCCAATGCCTTTGCTTCTTGTCCATGGACTGCCTGGGAAAGTTGGCAACTTCAGGGCTTGCGATACAAGAACGATCTGAGACGTGTGGTTCTTCAGGGTGTAGGGTGTAGAGTAGAGTTGTTTTTTGGGGGTCGATGGTGTCGGGTTTAGGGTTTTTGAGTTTTGGGGGTTTAGTATTCGTGTGCCGAGTTCAGGGATGGGCCAGCATAATATGGGAGTTTCCGAAAATGTGCGGGACCTTATTTTGGGGTACTATGAGGCCCCGATAACTCTCGAGTCTTGTTGGGCAGCTACTGCAACTCAGATATCACCAGGTCCTTCCTAATCAGTAGTGCCGAATCTGGGATTGCCATTATAAGTGCAACTGTTGCTGCTAGAGCTGTGGCTGCATGCGGCGGCTGCTGCAAACCTCGCGGCTTCTATTTTTTCTACTGTAGTACAAGGATAGCGGCAGTGATGATGCCCCATTTCTACGCCTTGAACCAAAATCTGGAGAACCTGCAAGTACACTGCTACCCTAAATTCTACACCTCACACCCACCGGGATCCCCGACAGAGCCGCCGTGGTGATCGGCGAGCAGGCCCGGATGATCATGCTCAAGGAGAGAGGGATCAAGGACCTGGGTAGGGTTTAGGTTGAGGGTTCAGGGTCTGGCATAGCATTTCACTTTGTAGGTAGCTTAGTTAAGGTTTCAAGTACTGTGAAATATTATTGAACCCATATCGACCTTGTATACTTTGAAGCCCTTGTAGCCCTAACCCTGAGCCCTAACTACACCCTGAACCGTGCCAAGTTCCCTGATCCGGTCAGTAGCCGGGACCCAAACCGAAGGCTGATGCAGTAAACCCCAAGGCCGATATTCAGGGCTCAGTTTTGTGGGTTTAGGGTTTAGGGTTCCGGAGTTTAGGGCTTGGCATCCAAACACGAAGACGTAGACCGAGGCGCCTTAGCCGTTTTAGCACGAAATCGCTTGTGGAGCAACTTGCTTCTGCTGCTTCAAAAGCCCTGCTGCTCTCAAGAAGCACGCACACATGTTCGCCAGAAGAGCGGAAGTTGCCAGCCCCGCAACCCACATGTGAACATTTGGGAGGTTCCGAAAATTAGGGTACCTTATTTGGGGGTCCTTATAATAAGGATCCTACTATTTGGGGGTACTATATTAGGGTCCCCTATTTTCGGAAACCCCCATTTCATCCACAGGACTGCAAAAGCTCTACCCCAAAACCCACGACACCCACCCCCCCAAGCTAAACGCGCTCCCACCCTAGAACTCTAAACTCGGTGAGGCCGGCACATGGAAAGAAGGTTCGAACCAATGTTCAGCGAGAAGGCTGCAGCCAGGCACAGCACGGTGATCATCTCCTGCTTCCTTAGGAGCAATACCCATAGGCCCCATAGTAGTTCCTTTTGGGGGTTCATATTTAGAATCCTATAAGGTACTATGGGGCCAATGGGTAGTTTTTGGGCTTACATAAGGTTATCGGGATTTTGGGTTGGGGCTTTACCAAGAGCTGCATAAAGTATTCCAGGTCTGAAGGTTGTGGTCTCGGGCCTAGGGTATGGGAACTCATTCCTGACTAACAGGCTTGATTTTGGAGGCTTTTGGCGTAGGGCTTGGGTTGTTGAGGCCATGGGCCATACAAAAGGGGGGGTTGAAGGTGCCTTTAATTCTAGTCCAATTGCTGCGCTTTTGCGCCAGGGTCTTCATGGACAGCCTTAGCTCGGGCTGCCTATCTACATACGTATATATCTATATATATATATATATATATGAGGAACCCCGAAGGAACACCACCACTGTTACTAGGAGTCTTTTGCAGCACTGCAGTTTAGTGTAAAGTTTGTATGACCCTTCGATTCGAGCACAGCCTGCAGCAGGCTGGGGGCATGATGCTTGAGGGTGCCATGGGCTTAGCGTTTGGGCTTCGTTTTCAAGGCTTTGGGCCTAGGGTTTTTGAGGGGTTTTGGGCGAACCCGCAACCCTAAATCCCTAAAGTGCTAAATCCCGAACCCTCAAATTTAACCCCCAATCCGCAAACCCTACATTGCTAAACCCCGAACCCCGTAACCCTACAAGCCCCGGACCCCAGCTCAGATCCTGGCCCTAAACCCCAAACACAATTAAAGCCCCAAACTCCCAAATGCCCCCCAACCCCCACTCGGATTCCTGAACGCGAAATACTACAAGCCCCCAACCCCGGCTCGGCTCCCCGGCGAGATCTTCTGAGGGCTGTAGGGTCGGCCAATCGCTCGAGAGCCGAGCAGCACCAAGCACATGATGCTGAAACTGACCTGGGCGAGGGGTTTAGGGTTTATAAAGTTTGGGGTCTAGGGCTTCAGGGTTCTACACCCTAAACGTTAGGGTCTTTAGGGTTTCGGTGGGACTTAAGGGATTTGGGCTTGAGGGTGTTGAGGTTGGACGGTTTTTGTTTACCCTTTGAGGTTTGGGATTAGAGGATCGAGCGTGCTCCAGGGAAGCCGTGCTTTAAAACCATGAGACATGCGGGGCCGAGTCGAGCTCACCTCATGGGAAGAGCAATCTTTTGATAAATCACGTTCACCACCATGCGAGAATAACAGCAGTATGATTTCTACCGGAAGCAATGTCAACCGCAGCTACGGCAAGAAAACGAATGCGTACGGAGATCTTGAAACCCTACATATATGAAGAGTGCCCATCCATAGCCTTAACAGCTCATCCTGCACCCTACGCACGAACCACCACCTCAAAGTCGCACACCTAGGGACCTAGGTCTATATCAACCTCAGCAAAGGAACCAGTTGCTGACAGCAGGTGACGAAGAAGGGCGCTGGAATCTGCCACGGCAAGAAAGGCTTGCTTTTCGGGCCCGAAAACCCCTGAGCCCTAAAGCCTAAAACCCCCAAAACACCTAAACCGTCAAACCCCCTGAACCCCAAACCCAGAATTAAAACCCTAGACTCTAATTTGGGCCACGGATTCAAAGGATTGGATCCAAGGCTCTGGAAATTGGACCCGAACTCCCAGAGAACCGGAACTCTCCAGCCCCGAGCACTCCGAAACCTTAGGTTTAGGGTTTACATATTTAGGGTTTAGGGTTTAGGGTTTAGGGTTTAGGAGGGTTCAGGGTTTTAGGGTCTATTGGGTTTTAGAGGGTTTAGGGTTTAGGGTTTAAAGGTTAACGGTGTAAGGCTTAGGGCTTCGAGGTCTTAGGCTTTGGGGTTGCGGCTTAGGGTTTAGAGGTTTTGGGGTTTGGGGTTGAAGGTTTGGGGTTGAAGGTTTAGGGTTTATAGGTTAAAGGCTTATTGGGTGTAGGGTTTAGGTTTTTGTTTATACCTGAGGCTCAATGACTCACATGTTGCGACGCTTAGGCCCAAGGGCCATACTACGAAACGCTCTTGGGCTGTCTTGTTCCGTAGCGTGCACCTGACGAGCTGAGCTGCGTACCAGCCCTACTGGGCTCGCTTTTGCAAGTAGGCCGTAACATGAACTAAACTATGCAAATGTAGTCTAGGGCTTCGGGTTTGGGGCTTAGGGTGTAGGGGTAGCATGATTAGACTTTAGACATGTGGAGACGCAGAGGGAGCAAGACTACTACGGAGGAACAGGCTTCACAGCAAGAGCTATGCTAGTCGTTGGGGCTTCTAGGCACAGGCAAATGGTTCTCCGGCAGACCCTAAGCCCTAAACCCTAAATATCCCAAGTCCCTACACACCCCAAAACCCAAAGCCTAGCCGCCCCCAGGACCCGACAGAATCTCAAGGCATGGCTGCAGCGCCCCTTTGAGGCCGGGCACCACGGCCACCTGCTCTCGGTGGATGGGTTTAGGGTTTAGGGTTTAGGGTTTAGGGTTTAGTGTTTAGGGTGGTTGCAGGTCCCTTTAGGGCTTAGGGGCTTTCAGTAGCTTGCGCATTGTAAGGTTTAGGGCCCAGGGTTTTGATTGAGGGGATTTAGGGCTCAGAGGTTTTGCGCTGTATGACATTACTGAACATACTGTTATAAGCGAACACAATGGTTTAGGGCTTGCGGCTTAGGGGCTCTAGGGTTCAGGATTCCGACTAGAAGTACTCCAAAACAGTGTCCACAGTTACCAGCTCTGAAACATGTCAATGTCTGCCGTCTACTGGTATAGTAACTATTAGGGTTTAGGCTGTTTGTGCATAGACTTAACCGTCGGAGGTAGCAAGAGGTTCATGACCTTCAAGTCTGGAGGAGCAGCTGAATGGAAGGGTCCATGGTTGTTAAAGGGATTCAATTATTCCATTTTTTGTTGCAAGAGGGAAAGCTCACAGCAGCTGAGGCGTTGGGTGCAGCTTTGCAGAGTTCGGGACAGGGCCTTAGGATCCGGATTTGAGGTCTGCACATTCGCTGTGGAGGGATATACTGGGTACGGGCTTGAGGTTTTCGCTAGGTTTGTGACTGAACATGCCTTCTACCGGAATACTCAGACAACCTGCAGCACTGCAGCAACCGAGCGGAAGCAAAAGCATAAGGTGCCTACATCAATGAAACAGGGGTGCATATTGCTCCACATCCGCAGGGGCTGCGAACGTTCTTATGATTACTCCGATCGCCTCAAAGCCTAAGCCTGTGAACCGTATGATCTTCAATGTCCACAATCAGTACCAAGCTGGAAGCAAGACGCCCCACTACGCACCCACCGGTCATGAAGCTCGCGGTTGTCGTGCCAAATTCGTGACTGGCCAGTGCAGTCACCCTCATTTTCAAGACCGGCTCGCGATGACTCGCGATGAAGCCAAAAATCTGAGCTATAAGCATCGAGCGAACACATCTGGTCTATCCCGACAAGCGAGAGGTTACTTGCTAAAAGACACCACATCTTCCAAAGTTCAAGACTCTCATCACCGAGGCCCTACACCCTCAAGCCCAAAATCCCAAGCAACACCAATCAAACACCCTCTGAGCATCGTGGATCTATCATCGAGACGTGTGGAATGAGGGATTGAGGCTGGAGGCCGATGGCGCCTTCGACAACACGAACTTCATCATGAAGCCCATGCCCGTCCTCATTCCCGGCATCGGAGGGTTTATAGGGCAACATCTTGTGGATGTAATCCTAAACCTTAAACCCTAAACCCTAAACGTAGAGCCCAGGTGAAATGGACTCAAGGAGCGGTCTAAAGACAGGTGTGACGAACACGAAGGGTCCTCCCTAGGAGACCGCTTTAAACGAAGGCTTCAGCACAGGGAGCTCTGAAGCGTATGGCTTCGGGCGCTTGGAGGGCATTACCTAAAGCTAGACTCGAGAGCAAGGGCACCGAAAACTCTGCCAAGTTTCTTGGAAGCTCAGGATAGGAACTCTTCGAAGGAAGCCTTCCTCAAAGGAACCTTTTAGGAATCGTTACAGGAACCCTTCAGGATTCCTCAGAAGGAACCCTTTAGGATTCCTCAAAAGGAACGCTTGGGGATTCCTTAAAATGAACCCTTAAACCTTAAACCACGTAACCCTAAACCACCAAACCCCAAACAACTTAACAACTACACTTTTTTAAACCCTAGACCCTAAACCCCTAAACCCCAAAAACCCCCAAACCCTAAGCACCCAAACCCTAAAAATCCCCAAACCCGAAGCCCCCAAACCCTAAAAACCCCCAAACCCTAAGCCCCTAAACCCTAAGCCCCTAAACCCTAAAAAACAAAACCCAAACCCTAAGCCCCTAAACCCTAAAAAACAAAACCCAAACCCAAAGCCCCTAAACCCTAAAAAACAAAACCCAAACCCTAAGCCCCCAAACCCGAAACCCTAAACCCTAAACCCTAAAAACCCGCAAACCCTAAAAACCCTCAAACCCTAAAATGACTGAAGCTTCCCGGCTGGAGGAAGAAGTAGCCGCTGAAAAGGCCAACCTGTTGGGATCTCGTAGGGCCCAGGCGTTGTTGTTAGGGCTTAGGTTCTTCGGGTTTCGGGCTTAGGGTTTAGGCTTTAAGGTGAAAGTTTTAGGGCTCAGGGTTTAGGTTTTAAGGTTGAGGTTAAGGTTTTAGGGCTTAGGGTTTAGGTTTTAGGGTTAAGGTCTTTAAGGGTTTGGGGCGGTATATAGGGTTTAGGGTTTAGGGATTCGGTGGTAGGAATTAGGTTTAAGGTTTAGGTGTTAGGGTTTAGGTGTAAAGGTTTAAGGGTTTAGGGTTTAGGTGCTAAGGTTTAGCTGTTCGGGCTTCGGCTTTGGAGGTTCAGCGTTTAGGATGTAGGTGTTGAGGCTTGGGCATTAGAACTTCGGGTTGATATTCAGCGGTCTTGCCGCGCTTTGTGCGTGTCTTGCGTGGCTTGCAGGGCTGAGGTCTGCGCTGGGGTTCTTTGGTTCGGGAGAATGCCGGGGTGCAGCGGCCTGGGGCTTGGCTTGGCCCCTAAACCCTGCCGAAACCCTGAACCTTAAACCCCTAAACCCTAATCTTGGGGCCTCTGGTCTACGATGGCTCTGAGGCCAGGAGCTCCAGAAGAGAACTTTGAGTGCAGATAGGCTTGATGCAACAGAGCTAGATTAAGGGATTAGGGTAATAGAACCGACGGAAATCACACTAGCTCCCTCTAAGCTTCTTTCACGTTGATAAGGCCCAAGATAATCTCCTGGTTTCTGCCCCAATGCATCTTGCGATCTCACAAGGAGAGGCATGATTCTGCGGGTCTTGGATACAGCCTGGGGTAGGCTTCAGAGGGCTTAGGGCTTCCAGTGGTGCTCAGTGCGGCAGAACCCAGAAACCTTGAGAAATCAGACGTAGGTCCTATAAACGACCAAGCACGCTCCCTGGCTGCCGATCTTCAATGATGTAACCTCCAACCCACCAAAAGCCTCGAGAATTCAATACCTCCACAAATTTTCCCTACGAGCAACCCCAAGATCCTCTCCCCAACACCAGCACGACAAGCAGGCCCTGAACTCCAAACTGCCACAAAGCATTATATTCTACTTGGGGGGGGGGGGGGGGGGGG